AGGAGTAGAAGCGTCCAATCCTGTCATTTGCGCGCCTGCTTTGTGTGTGTTGGTGCCATGCCTGTCTGCTCGCTGTATAGGATGCGCAGTGTAAAAGTTGCCACGGAAATGCTCCATACAATAGCAGCATGACTTTACAATAGCGAGTGGGGTGGTTATCTTGACAGGGAGAACCAAGGCCTCTTTTGTCTTTGGCGATTGCAAAAAAAAAGGCCGCGTGTCCGACCGAGCTGAAGGCTTTGGCCCTGGCACAGATACAGAAAAGAAAAATGTGTAAGAGTTTATATTTTCTTGAGTTTTTCTGTTAGGGGAGTACACATTGAAATAGTAGGTCTGTTTGGTCCACTTCTCCCACTGTAACTCATCCTAAACCCGAAATCAACAATGTATATTTTGGTTTGATTTGATGCCATGTCCTGTCCTATTCACAATTTTATTCGCTTAAGCAGAGAACTGGCAAAAGTCTAAGATTATTGGTCCAGAGGAGAAGTTTAATCCTTAAACTTTCCGATCTACTAATGCAGTAGCTCAGTTGTTTCTGGCGGTTCGAATCCTTTTCCCAATAAACATTCTTGGTTGAGTATTAAGATTGACTGGTTGTGTCCACTCACCTGCAGATGACGATTTTAAATGTAATATATTCTATCATGGCATGTAATACCTCATGTTATAGCTATTATATAATTCACTTATGTATTTAGTAAGACATTGTCAAAATCATTGATCTGTAAATCTGTCTCGACTACTCAGTCTTCTTTGCCTTTGTTCCAGTTTCCAGTTTCAAATAAATCAAAATCAATACATAATATCGAACAATTATCAATACAATTATTTTCTGAAGATACTGTATCATCATATTGCAAAACGGTTCTAATAAAAAAAATAGCTACATATACAAGAGATGAGCTCTTAAAATATGTACACGAGAAAAAAGTACACTAGAGCAGGAAGAAGTGTATGTGGAAAGAGAAGTCCAGGCGTCTCTGCTTAGACAGCTGCCTTCATGAACCAGCAACGGATAACGGGGTGGAAAATGGATGGATGGAGAAAACACTGGAGAATTTAGTTCCAAGTATCCCTCTCGTTCTCTTCACTGTGACTTTGCTTAGCAAATACATGAATAGCATTCTCAAAAAATAGAAAATAAGTTTTGTACATTTTTAAAAAGTAACCATGTGTAAACTGGTCCGGCAGTCCACAAAATGTTAACATTGCAACGTGACCCATCCTTGGTATAGAGATAGACTCTGAACGCAGAAAATATATGCAAAGATGTTGTGACAGAATTCAACTTTGAGTGCAGTGAGTCAGTATGATAATTTGGCCCGAGAGCCACAAGCTGGGAGCAGGGAACGTATAGTATATGGTGTCAGAAATGATTATTCTTTATTTCATGCTTCTTTCAGTAACACCAAGTCCCTGAAAGAGCATTACAAGGAAACATTGAATTACCTGCAGAATCATCACATTTGAAACATGCGTATTACGACCGTAAGAGAGGACCGTTCATAGTAAAGCTTGCAGCTTTACTATTTGTAAATATTTTTTTCCCCGCCTTCTTGCATGTAAAGAACTATTCAAAAGACTATTTCACCATTTACTGGGATGCTATAGCTTTAATTAGCATTAGATCACGGGTGTCTTAACCAGACTTGTCCAGGGGCCGACATCATGGATTTTAAACGGTTATTTTTCAGGCTGTTCAGAGCTTAAAATGTAGTACATGTCCGTATTTATACATGTACTAAACATGTATCATTCAGCCAACTTCATGCTGAATAGCAAATGTTTACTATCTCATCAGATACATCAGTGTTTTATACCGGGTTTAAAGACACACCAACCAGTTCTGAGCTTTACAGCACGGTTTTACAACAATATCTATAGTGGTGGAGCTGAAGTTGGCTGGAGGACACTGTGAACCTGTGTTTAGAATCTCATTGGCTATTTTGGGTTGGCAAGGCAGAGGGCCACATAAAACACTGGGGGCCTTAGTTTGGACACCTCTGCATTCGATAAAAGAAAGTATCAAAATCTGTGTATCTCTGGATCTACAGATAAGAGTCAAGGGTCTATGGATAAAAATACAGTGATCGTTTTGGCCGAATCAAACTGTGATGAAAGAATAATGAAAGTTGTAACATTTAACAAACCATTCTTCTTCCACCTCTTGTTCAGTTCGCGCCACGGTCAACGCTCTTTCTCTCTTCCAAACTCTAATAGGTTTGCGCTCGGAAAAATGATATCGCCTTTAATTGCTTGTGGTATCAGTTAATTGCAGGGTTTTGGGGGGTGGAATATAACAACTTTGCAAATGTTTTAAGTCTGTCTCCAAGCCAAAAGTGTGTTTTTCTAAAGAGTAGAGTACAGTTGAAACCACATTCTGCACAGAGAGATCTGTGAACATCCTGCTCTGACCACACGCACCTGCCATAGACTTTTCTCTGGCCTCGAAACAGCTTCTACACCAGTCTGGTTTATTTCATGTTTTTTGCATTTCATCGATCACATGGCACATCTTGATCTATGAAACACGACTCATCTAAATATAGGCATTTCATAACATACAGCTTTTTGGATATTATGACCCCATAGAGGCCAATATTTCATTTTCGTGAAACGTCTTTAAGTTGCAAGGTAAGTTCATACACAATGCAACTCAAAGTGCTTTACAAAACAAAAGATTCTACAGGTTATTCATACAACATGATCACAGTTCATGAACACAATCCTCCAGTTGTGTGCACAGCTAAACACGACTTTTTTTTAACCTGGATTTGAACATTGTCAAAATAGAACCCTGTCTCACATTGTCAGGAAGACTGATCTCAGCAGGAGGCCTGTGTTAGTGCTCCTCAAAGTCCGAGTTGGATTATATGGCACTAAAATGTCACAGATATACATTGGTGCGAGGCCATGGAGAGACTGTTTTAAAGTCTATTCTCTGAGCCACAGGAAGCCAGTGCAGAGACATGTTTTTACCTTACAAGTTGTTTGTGTTGGAGAGTGCGCATGCACACACGAGAGAAACCCCCTTATAAGGCGTTCTCTCTCTTTATTGGATAAAACATGTAGGCTACGAAGTTTTCTTTAAATATGACTAAGAGCAGAGTGGAGTGACTGAGAGATCCGTGTTTAGGTGCAGACACTCTATTTAAAGAACTTCTCACCCCTGCTCCTCGAGGCTTATGTCACTCACATTTCCTGTTCAAATCTTCCTCCAAATGGGCATAGCCTGGAGGACTAAAGGGTACAGGCGGGGGGGTGAATGTTGGGCGGGTCTAAGCTGTGATTGACACTTGACAATAAAAGCAATATTGACTAAAACTACAATATTCAACAACAACGCTATTAACACTACACAATTATCTATAATACAAACAGCTAAGCTAATAAAAATCTACCTAAATGCTACAACTAATCGCAAACCTGACAATCAATGAAAATACTTTCTATTCCTTCCTTCCTTCGCTGGGGGGACGTGAACGAGACTGGGCCGTTCACACTCAATGGGTGGCAGGGCAACTGACGTCAGCCTTCATGGCAGACGTCAGCCCTTGCTGCTGCTTGAATGTATATGCCTTAAAATACATTTGTTTTGCAAATTACATTCGATTTGCAAATCAAATCCAATTTAGGTCATATTTAAAATGACTGATGCTCCACCTTCATTCTGTCAGTAACACAACAAGGAACCAGCAAAACTCCAGGAGTGGACAACACAGAAGTACACACAGTAAGTTCATTCATAGAACTAAATGCAACATTGTGCCATTGTGTATACACTTGTAAGGTTTACATGAAGACACATTAAATATTTTTCAAGTATTACTGAAAAGTTGGTTTATTTAGCATGCATATTGTTTATGTATGTGTGTATTTATTAGAGTTGTAAAGAAACACAAAACCAACACCACCGAGTGTTGGTTTTTGATGAGGAGGATGACGCAACGTCCTTTAGCGTAGACGCTCTTAAGCATGAGTCATTTATATCTCAAGTGATGACATCTCTGTTCTTACAGTATGCACAAAATCATATAAAAAGCCTTGTATCTTTTTTTTATCTGGAGGGACTCATATAAACTGTGGTACAGGGGAAATCGCCGTTGCGTTCTCCACCAAATCTGCCGAGGAATGAAGACAAGGCAACGGCAACTGCACCCGTACCACGGTTTATTTCTGAGTCCCTCCAGATCAAAGAAAAGGTTTTATAGGATGTTGTGCATAAGAGCAGAGATGTCATCACTTGAGATATAAATGACTGATGCTAAAGATACAGTTGTAATATTGTTGTCAGTACAAATGCGTTCAGGTCGTCAGATAATAATGTTTAGCAGTAATACACAGATATGACAGGGGTCCATAGAACTTTACTATGCTATATGATCTTACTTGACAGTGATGTGGAGCAAATAGCAATGTGCCAGTTGGTCGAATTAGCAGCAGAATTGAATTTAAGGTAAACATTAGTTGTTACTGAGGCCGTATGTCCACATGGTGACAATGCAACATGTTTAGAAGCAAATCATATGAACAAAAGGTTGTATCTGAATTCAGAAAAAAATACCCCTTTTTCATTCTTCTTTTCAATGGATTAGGAAGAAGGTATTTCTATGAAACACCTGAAAGCACTTAACTTCATGTACACGGTTTCATGGAAACGGATGTGTGCATGCATTAGAATTATATGCTTGCATTAAAAAGTGTCTCATCTTTGTGTTAAGTTCTGTACGAAGCTCATTGCTTTCACTTACACTGTGCGTCAATACCAACAAACAGTTAACAAGATGGCTGTAATTTTATATTCAAACATATGAAAAGACTGGTGAATACAGCCTCAGTCAATACAATTATCTGGAACGTTTGAAACATGAATGTTTAGTTTCCTTTTAAACGAGCTCAGCGTTGGGGCATATTTCATAGTCATGACTTTGTCCTTCTATTGTGCTCGAACAGAGATGGCTTCATTTATATCCATGGACTTCAGCTGCCCAGTGTGCATGGAGGTCTACAAGGACCCTGTGATGCTGCCGTGCTGCCACAGCTTCTGTAAGGCCTGTCTGTACGACTGGTGGAGAGAGAATGTGACTCGGCAGTGTCCAGTCTGTAGGAGGTGCTCCTCCATGACAGATCCTCCGTCTAATCTGGTTCTTAAGAACCTGTGTGACACCTTCTCTCAGCAGCTGAACCGTCCCTCTCTGCCCGAGGCCATCTGCCCACATCACAAAGAGAAAGTACAGCTCTTCTGTTTGGATCATCAACAGCCCGTGTGTCTGGTCTGTCGAGATTCCAGAGCACATCACGAGCACAAGTTCAGACCCATCAATGAAATGGCCCAGTACTACAGGGAGCAGCTGCAGAAGAGTCTGCTGCCCCTACAGGACAGACTGCGGATAAGCAGTGATGTGATCCACCACTGGTATCAGACCAGTGAGTACATCAAACAGGAAGGTGACCGCACAGAGAAGCGCTTTCAGGAGGAAATTAACAAAATGAGAGACTTTCTGCAGAAGGAAGAGCAGGAGAGGGTCCAGGCTGTGAGGACTGAGGTGCAGCAGAAGGTCAGCCTGATGGAGCAGCACGTCGCTGCTCTGTCTGAAGAGATGGAGACTCTGTCAAACACCATCAAACAAACACAGGAGGAGCTCAAAGCTAGTGATGCTACATTCCTCCAGACATACAGCGGTGCAGTGAGACGAGTGCAGCAGGCCCCTTTAAAGGTTATTCCACAAATCGCCTCTGGAACTCTTGTGGATGTGGCCAAACATCTGGGCAACCTGAGCTTTAACATCTGGAACCAGATGAAGGATCTGGTGTCCTACACTCCAGTGGTGCTGGATCCAAACACTGCTAATAGATCCTTGTTTGTGTCGAACAATGTTCGAAGATGAACGTAAAAAAAAGGAAAATTGGGCAGTTGGTTTAATGACTATATCAGCCCCTCGTAGAGAAAACATATTAGTGGATACTGGGAAATTTGGGTTAAAGATGATCACTACACTGCATATTAGGGGGGGAAATGGCAACAAATTAGCAAAATTAGCAATAGCTGTAAACTCTTTTTGCATCGCATCGGTTACAAGCTTGTTTTGTTCTATGTTGACTTACAATGTCCCTGTCATATAAATGAGCTTCACACTTAAAAAAAGGAACCGAACAGGGATGCCCACTCTCACCATCTATATTCGCCATTTTCATTTAACAACTCGCAGCAGCAATAAGACAAAATAACCAAATTAAAGGAATTCAGGACAAAAACTCAGTCTTTGTCCAGATGACCTTCTGTACTTCGATAACCCATCCGTGTCACTACAGGACATTTTTTATGTTACTAACTTCTCCAAAATCTCACAATAGACAAAAAACTGGAACAAATCAACTATTCTACCACTATCTGAAACTGCCTGGAATTCTGCAGCTCAAAACCCATCCCTTCCATTTCACACTGGAAACATATAATACTTGGGCATCAATATCTCCCTCAGGCTGTCAGAGCTTTTTAACCTTAACTACACCCTCTTATTAAAAAACTGAAGACGATCTCAAACGCAAACTTCCACTCACCCTCATAGGACAAAATATCAATATGAAAATTCTACCCCAAATAAATGACCTGTTCTCAGTTCTTTCTACCACCCCCACTGTAAAATGGTTCCAAATACTCAACTCAATAATAACCCAGAGTCTCACTCTCAACATTACAACATCCAAAATCACAAGGCGGCTTCGAAGCACCCAATTTTCTTAAATACTTTATAGCCAATCAGTTACAATACCTATTTAAATGTACTCAAAACATATTCACACCACCGCATGATTAGAATTAGAAGAAAATCAATGTATACCCACCTTAATCACAGATCTTCCTTTTCTATCACAATCAACATAAACACATTACTATAGTAAACATAATACAATCTCCTCAACTCTGACAGCCTGGTGGACAAATTCACTTTCCGTCATGGCAACAATAAGGAATCAGACATCTCCAACACTTATTTGGCAGCGACCATTTCATCTCATTTGACACCTTAAAGTGATAGTCTGGAGTTTGTCATAAAAAAAGAGAGAGAGGTACATGATTTGAAAAAAACGACCCAAGCTCCCTCCCCCTTCCTTTCTGCTTTTCCGTGCCTGCGCCAGAGGAGAGATTATAAATTTAAATATTTTAATAGTATGTAATCATTATTTATCATACTGCTCCTCACAGCAACAGTAGAATTCTGCATTGATTTCGTTCTACCGATCATTATTTCTTCTCAAACCTCGACTCTACTCTACAATACACTACTGTACTTAATTCTACTCTACTCTGTTTATCCGGTGCAGGTACTTTTTCAGTGCCTCCTTGGCCCTGTTCCAATGCCCAGATACTGGTATGTTGTGGTTGCTAGAACACGGTACCAGTTACCAAAGCAGAGTAACTGTAAGGACAAGTAGGGCTGGTAGAAACAGGACTTAAGTTACTTTGTGTGGAATAAGTCTATGTTGGTTTCATATTTCAGGTTGAATACAGATATAAATTAACTTTGGAACCATATTACAATAATAATAATAACAATTAAATCCATTAATTACAGGGGTCGACAATGTATTGCATGTGTTTTGTAGAATTAGACATGTACAGTATGTTGTTGTGACATGGCATTAAATGTTGAGTTTTTAGGTATAACCAAACAACCAGTATCTTTGACGTTTACATGTCTGGAAGAAATTGACATCAAATGAACTAGAACTAGGACAAGAATGATGCAATATTTTAAATTGGTTTTCCAGTTTCTAATCACTGTTGTTTCGATATTGTTGTTGCCGTCATATTTATATTTCTGTTTAGCACTTTTTAAGATTGTGAATGTGTTTTTTACGACGTCTGCCTAAAAAGGTATGGTTCGCCGGAGGGTTCACTCTGGGCTCTGGATTCACTGGTTGGAGCTGAGGGCTTGAGTATGTTTGGACAGCATTTCATTGGATATGTGATAAAGTTAGCAACTAAGACACATTGTTTTAGCTCATTTTCATTTAATTTTTGTGCTCAAGATAACTGTTAATGAATTTCACTTATAATGAATAAATTTCATTTATAATGAGCTACATTTTTGCTTTGATGCCAATGTGCACATTTTTTCCACAGCAAAAACAAATAAACGTGTGAAAACATATGTACAGTATAATAGCTTGTCATTCTGATGGCCTCGCGGCCATCTGCATGGCTCAGCACGGTCTGGAATGTTTGCTGGCTCAGGGCTGGAGTTAAAAGCTTCCCTCTGTAAAACTGGGTTATGGGGGTAAGAAAGGGTGAGGGTACGACTCCGGTTTCAGATCACTGTATATATAATGTACATAGAGCATGACTCAACAACAGCTTTTTATGTCTCTCGAGAGCAGGTCAAATCAACATTAATTTTGAGCAGAGATGGACAAGACTTTGAAATAGTTTAATATTTTCTCTGTTAAATAGTGGTACCTCTTTTGATTTTGCTCTTGAGGTTACATTTGGTACCTGTCTTTTTATGATGAATTGCTGAACTATAAACCATTACTTTTTTTTCAAATTCTTTATGAACCCAAGCAGCTAATATATGTATTATCAATTTTGCTAGAGCCCTTCCTGCAGTTGAGGAAGAGATTTGGACACAGCTCTATCAGTTATTGATCTCCAGAGCTGATGGCATGGCACACATACCTGCCTCCTGGTGTGTTTTCTGTGAACAGCAGAACGAGACAAGGAAGTGTTTAGGAAATACATATAACTTGTTTTTATAGGATTACGGCTGTTGTCAGAGCATAATTAATAGAGTTTTTTACTCCATCAAGTACAAATAGGAGTGGGAAGCATATTGACGACAAAGATTAAACATACCAGAGTGCTTTGATCATCAAGAGTCAGCATTGTGTCCAGTTGTTTATCGGCTTTATTTTGAAAAAAGACACGAAAAATTTAACCTTACTGTTGAATGTAATATGCCTATAAAAATGTTAGAATATACAAAGACACAATAAAGGTATTAAAAAAATCAAGCGCAAACCAAACCACTTACATGCTAGCAGATCACATTAGTTTATTTTAGTATAGTGTGTTGCCTACACATATGTTGGACTTTTCTCACTTGAAATCCCCAATACAAATCAATGTGATGTTTTCTGGAGAGGGCCTAGCATGAGAAGACCACTTTCCATCACGACCCTGCAGAAGATCTAGGACACGCCGGAAGACTGTCTCTTTTCTGGTCTGGGAACACCATCAAAACTCCACTGGGATGAGTTGGAGAAAATGTGGAGTAGGAAGTCCCTGCAACCCTGAAATGAAAAAAGGGAAGATGCACAGAATGATATTTATTGAATGGTTGGGAAGTGTATGCTCATGTTACACTAGTTAAGGTGAATACTTCCTCTGATTAAATCTGTTGACATTCCTTTTCTGTCAGAGCACATTCAGCCAATGCAGTCAGGGTTGGGTTAGGGTTGATGCTCTAACCCAAACCTGATGCTCCACCCACATTCTGTCACACAACAAGGAACCAGCAAAGAAAGCGACAGAATCCAACTCTGGGAGCGGACAAAACAGAAGAACTCAGTAAGTTCATTCATAAAAATAAATACAACATTGTGCCATTGTGTATACATTTGTGAGGTTTATGGTTTACATGAGGACACATTGACTATTTCTCAAGTCTTATTGTAAATGAAAGTATTTTAAGATTTGGATTACAGACCATGTTTCATGTACGATTTTGAATCATATATCTTTGTGATATTTGTTGTAAAAAACCTCATGGCTTTCACTTTCCATGTGCACATGTAAATTTTCAAACATGTGCAAAGTCGTATGAAGGTGAATCCAGCCTCAGTGAACACAATTCAGTAGAATGTTTGAAACAAAGTGTATGTGTTGTGTGTGTGTGTGTGTTGAGTTTACTCCTAAATGAGCTCAGCGTTGGGGCATATTTCATGGTCATGACTTTGTCCTTCTATTGTGCTTGAACAGAGATGGCTTCATTTATATCCATGGACTTCAGCTGCCCAGTGTGCTTGGATATCTACAAGGACCCTGTGCTGCTGCCGTGCAGCCACAGCTTCTGTAAGGCCTGTCTGCAGGACTGGTGGGGAAAGAAAGTGACTCAGCAGTGTCCAGTCTGTAAGAGGTGCTCCTCCGTGACAGAACCTCCGTGTAACCTGGTCCTTAAGAACCTGTGTGACACCTTCTCTCAGCAGCTGAGCCTGAGGCGGCCCTCTCAGACCGAGGCCATCTGCCCACATCACAAAGAGAAACTACAGCTCTTCTGTTTGGATCATCAACAGCCCGTGTGTCTGGTCTGTCGAGATTCCAGAGCACATCACGAGCACAAGTTCAGACCCATCAATGAAATGGCACAGGAATACAGGAAGCAGCTGCATAAGAGTCTGCTGCCCCTACAGGACAGACTGCAGAAAAGCAGTGATGTGTTCAAGCACTGGTGTCAGACCAGTGAGTACATCAAACAGGAAGGCGACCGCACAGAGAAGCTGATCCATAAGGAAATTAACAAAATGATAGACTTTCTGCAGAAGGAAGAGCAGGAGCGGGTCCAGGCTGTGAGGACTGAGGTGCAGCAGAAGGTCAGCCTGATGGAGCAGAAGTTCACTGGTCTGTTTGAAGAGATGAAAACTCTCTCAAACAGCATCAGACAAACCCAGGAGGAGCTCAAAGGTAGTGATGTCGCATTCCTCCAGACATACAGCGGTGCAGTGAGAAGAGTGCAGGAGGCCCCTTTAGAGGTTATTCCACAAATGCCCTCTGGGGCTCTGATGGATTTGGCCAAACATTTGGGCAACCTGAGCTTTAACATCTGGAACCAGATGAAGGAACTGGTGTCCTACACTCCGGTGGTGCTGGATCCAAACACTGCTAACAGATCCTTGTTTGTGTCTGATGATCTGTGCAGTGTGCACTGTGCAAACAGAGAAACAGATGAAGCACCAGAGGCCCCTTTAGAGGTTAATCCACAAATGCCCTCTGGGGCTCTGGTGGATGTGGCCAAACATTTGGGCAACCTGGGCTTTAACATCTGGAACCAGATGAAGGATCTGGTGTCCTACACGCCATTGGTGGTGGATCCAAACACTGCTAACAGATCCTTGTTTGTGTCTGATGATCTGTGCAGTGTGCACTGTGCAAACAGAGAAACAGATGAAGCACCAGAGCTTCCATGGGTCCCTGAAAACCCTGAGAGGTTTATTAAGTATGTCAAAGTACTCGGGAACGAGGGTTTCACGACTGGGAAACACAGTTGGGAGGTGGACGTTCAAGAAAAAGGAAACTGGGCAGTTGGTGTTATAACTAAATCAGCCCCTCGTATAGGAGACATACCGTGTGGATACTGGGAAATTCGGTTTAAAGATGATCACTACACTGCGTATTCTCCACCTCACATAGACAAGGTTCTTACACTGAAGAATCCGCTTCAGAGGATCAGAGTGGACCTGGACATGGACAGAGGAAGAGTCTCTTTCTCAGACGCACACACCAACACACACATTCATACCTTCTATTACATTGCTGAAAAAGTCTTTCCTTTTATTAACACAATTCAACAAAACCAAATAACAATATCACCATCGAAGGTCACGGTACTAATAATACTGTGAGTGTGTTCAGTTCAAGTGTTTTGTTATCATAAGTAAAACAGTATACTTTTCTGGGATTCAGCATGTAAAAAAAAGAGAGTATCATGATGTCATTTGAATATTAAACATGAACAAAGAAAGAAAAAAATCAAACAAACTTGGAAACAGCTTTTCTGGTGCAAGAAACTTTCCAATTTTTAAGCGAGAGTCGTGCCATTAGCATTGTAGTCAGTTTCTGCTGACTGCTAAACAATTGCTATCTCTGACACATATATCCTTTATTTTTCAGAATTACCATATGCACCACATGTCAATGTTTAAGTTTGAATGCATTAATGAGACATTTCAAAGGGCAGGTGGATACAGAGAGAGGGGTTTTATCAATTATTTTGATGGATTACTTAATCAAATTATGCATTATACAAAAGACATTGAGGGCTTGGAATAGATAGTATACAGAAACAGTGTTGGGAGTAACGTGTTACAGAAGTAATGTAATCACTGTAATGTAATGCTTTTATTGCACAGAAATGTAAAGCCTTAAAAAATAAGTTTTTTTTTTTTTATACTAGGCCACAGCAAGATAAGCAGAGGAGAAAATACCCAATACAGTAATACATACTGTATTGTCCCAACATTTTTTGTTGTGCTTCACACTGTACAGTATGTGGAGACTATGAACTTTTCTCTACGGAACCTTCTAGAATGTTGAGTGAGAAGTAAAATTAAATGTAAGGAGAGTACTGTACTTATCTCTAACCTTTTACTACTGGGCTGCAGGGTAATTGATTGTAAATGTAACCATGTTTTTCTCATTGATAAAGGCACAAACAACATGAGCAGTGGTACTCATGGTGATTAGTGTCCATCCTTTTTCACTCAACATTTTGAGAATCATATCCCCTATAAAATTAGTTATATACTGGTGTAAGTAATATACTAGTTAACTACTGTCCTTCTGGCAACTTGAACCCTCATATTTAAACCCAAATATCTGTATTATTACTCGCTACAAACTAATATGAAGTGATTGACGTGGCTCTGTCAGATCACTTCTGTGTATTTTTTGACATGTGTTTTGATAGTAAACCCCCATATGAATCTGAATCTGCAATTGTCAGAAGACAGCTCATGAATGAAAACACAACCGAATTGTTCAGGGAATGATAAACTTTGTGTTCTACTGTTAACGAAGTGCTTAACTCTGTCACCTCCAATGTTATAAATGTTCTGGACACCATCGCTCCTGTGCAGGTTAAAATGGTTACAAATACGCCAAAGGCCCCCTGGATTAAAGTGGACTCAGTCATGGCACAGAGAAGAAAGTGCCGAGCGGAAGTGGCGAAAATCCAATCTCCAGGTTGATCATGACATCTTCAAAAATGAGCTGTGCAAGTTTAACAGAGTGCTACGTAGAACAAGATAAATGTATTTTTCTAAAACCATTGATGGCTACAAAAATAATCTACGACTTCTTATACTAGGCCACCGCAAGATCAGCATAGGAGGAAATACCCAATACAGTAATACATAATGTATTGTCCCAACATTTTGTGTTGTGCTGTACAGTATGCAGTGAACTTTCAACAGTTAACAGATTAACAAACCCCCCTGTTCAGCTGCCATTAGAATTTACCTCAGAATCTAAATGTAATGAGTTGCAAAGTTTTTTCAATGACAAGGTTCAGAGCATCAAAAACGCCATCACTTCCACAGCAGTAATAACATTACAACAGCCAGTGAGGCTTTTTGAGCTATCGCACTTTGCACCAACAGATAATGAAACTGTCCAAGATGTTATCTCTAGTCTGAGTGTACTGCCCACTTAATTTCTTTAGTCTGTTCTGAGCAGTCTTTTACCTTCGCTCACGCAAACAGTAAACATGTCTCTTTCATCTGACACATTTCCAATGGCCCTGAAAACGGCAGTCATCAGACCCCTCCTAAAAAAGAGGAGTCTAGATGTCCCGGTTCTTAAGAATTACTGGCCCATTTCAAATCTGCCGTTCAGACATTCTACAATATGTATGGACATTTATCAACATGTGTTCTATATTCTTTATTTGTGTTAACTGTTGATTCTATGATCTGTGTAGGTGATTTCAATGGCTTTGTTGAGTCCTCTGAGATGACTTCTGTTGTGATTTAGGGCTATACAAGAATAAATTGTATTGTATTGTATCGTTGATGGGAAAAGTTCTTGAAAAACTTGCTTACCAACAACTTAGTAACTAATATCTCTTTTGACCCGCTCCAGTCCCGCTTCAGAGCCCATCACAGCACTGAGACTGCTCTAATGAAGGTTACAAACGACATCCGACTTAACACCGACACAGGAAAAGTCAAAGTTTTAGTCATGCTGGATCTGACTGCCGCGTTCGCCACAGTCGACCATGAGATCCTCATGCAGAGGCTAGAGCACGGGGTGGGTGTCACTGGGGCTGACCTGGTTTAGGTCTCACCTAAGGTTAAGTTTAAGTTTTATTAAGGAAAACCCCTTGATATGGATCATCTCATTTTCAAGGGGGTCCAAAACAAAAATACAAACATATATATAAACACACATACACAAAAACAATTTACAGCGAAATAAAGTTAAGAAAAGTTAATTAAACACACACACAAAAAATGAAACAAATGCTCCTTCGCAGCCCACTCCTTCCTTCTGCTAAAATTAAACATTAAGAAAAAGACAAAGTAAAACTAATAACAATAATGACACAGAACACAGAACTTTAGTGACATAAACAAGGAGTTTGAAGGAACCTAAAAATTCAAACTTAAATAAACCAGAAGACAGAATGGACCGTATAGATGTGGGGAGTTTTTTCCAGTATGATGGAGCCTTATATTGAAATGATCTACGTCCAACTTCTTTAAAAACTCTTGGAACAGAAAAGGTGAGACAATCAGAACTTTGGAGTGAAAAAGGTGTAGAGACAGGGAAAAAAAAAAAAAACTGTTTTAAATATTGTGGACAATAAAATGAATAAATTTTAATAATAAGTGCAGCCAGTGAAGGTGACGTCTGTTGTGAGGTTGAAGCCAGTGAAGGTTCTCGTAAAGAGTGCAGTGATGTGTGCGATATGGGCATTTGAGAATGAATCTACAGAGACAGTTAAAAAGTGTATTGAGTGGTTTGAGATGGGAGGGAAATGTGTTTTGATAAATGACGTAGAAGACAGGAAATACTTGGTTGAAATAGGAAACTGTGTCTCAAATCATATGGCCCTGACCTGCGGAGTGCCACAGGGGTCAATCCTGGGGCCACTTCTGTTCAAAATTTATATTCTGCCAATAGGTCAATTAATACGCTCTAACAATTACGCTGATGACACTCAAATCTATGTCTCACTGACTGCAGGAGAACATGGACCAGTGGACTCACTCCTCCACTGTATCCAACAGATCAGTGAGTGGATGCAAAATAACTTCCTTCAGCTAAACGCAGACAAAACTGAAATGATTGTCTTTGGTCCCCAGAAACAAAGAGAGAGCGTTATTTGTCACCGCCAGTCTCTCTCCCTGGAACCTTTAGTTAAGGTCAGAAACCTAGGAGTAGTAATGGACTCAGACTTAAATTTTAACAGCCACATCAAATCAGTAACATCAGCAGCTTTTTACCATCTGAAAAACATTGCCAACATTAGAAACATAGTGACTAAATCAGATCTGGAGATTCTTATCCACACATTTGTCTACAGTAGGTTAGACTACTGCAATGGCCTGCTCACTGGTCTCTCCAAACAGGCTGTAAAACAGCTGCAGTATGTCCAAAATGCTGCAGCTCGAGTCCTGACTAGAATCAGGAAGTACGACCATATTAGTCCAGTCCTCAGGTCTCTGCACTGGCTTCCTGTGGCTCAGAGAATAGACTTTAAAACAGCTCTGCTTGTGTACAAGTCTCTCCATGGCCTTGCACCAAAGTACTTAAGCAACATTTTAGTACCATATGTTACCATATGAACCGACCCGGACTCTGAGGAGCACAGGAGGTAGCCTCTTGCTGGTTCCAAGAGTCAGAACTAGATATGGGGAGGCAGCGTTTCAGATATATGCAGCTAAAATCTGGAACAATCTTCCTGAATATGTGAGGCAAGCATCTACTCTGGCAGTTTTCAAATCAAGGTTAAAAACTGTTCTCTTTAGCTGCATACAGCTGAAGGATTTTATAGATAATAGATACTCTTTTTAATGCATTGTGGCTATTAATTATTTTAATCCTGTGTGTGTTTTTAATGTTTTAAGGTTTTTAATTACTTGTGATTATATTCAGTTAAAAATATTTTGTTGTTGTATATGTAATGTAGATTTGAATGTTTCTGTATTTTTCGATGTGATGTGGATTGTGAGGCGCTTTGAGTTGCCTTGTGTTGGATAGGCGCTATACAAATAAAAGTTGATTGATTTATTGATAAAAACAAGTATGAAATGGTTAGCCATGCTTTAATTATTGTGAGTTTCTTTCTCATAACAATGTGGCTATAGTTCTACATGTTTTATCTGATTGTATCCCAGTAGAGATCTTTAATCTTTACAAGCTATAACATTGGATATTTTTTCTAAATGATCAAAAATACAAACCACGTCCGTTTGTACTGATGTAAACATACTG